TTTAGTTTCTTTAAATCATCTATTTTCCAAGTTCCGTTTCCGATTGCGGACGCACGTAAATTTGGAAACTGTTTTTATAGATCAGTCGAGATTTTAGGCGGTAGCCATTAATTAGTAGAATTTGTAGTCCAGTTTTTCGACGCGATAAGCCCTACACATCGGTCTCCCTATAAATAAAGCCGTAAAATGGTCTCTTCTTTTCGTTTATCTTGTGTCTCTCTTGGCGTGTCTCTCTTTTCTTTCTTCTTATCGGTGCCGTTTACCCGTTTTTCCACGAACTGCTTTCCGTAAAGAAATAAAACCGTTGATTAGCGTTGTTCGTAAGAATAGAAATGAGATTCACGTGTCGAAGGAGATAAATCCCGACGCGAGCGCGGCGCAATCTTTTCTCCCATTCACAGATATTGGTTTTGAAGCATGAATGAAACGATTGAGGGTATTTCTCGCGGACGTCCACAAAGTTGCTATCATGAAGTTGAAGGAATGTATCGAAAGTAAACTTTAGCATTTGAAAAAACCATCGTCATTCTAATTTTTTGCGGATTCACCGAATTTTTATGGATTCACCGAACGACAACAAACAGAATTTTTATACATTATTTCATAATACGTTGATTATAAATATATAATTTTTTCTTAATAATTTAAATGTCAAGTAAAATCTTCCTTGTTAAAGACGACTTCCTTTGTTAACTATTCTTCGAAAGGAAGTTAGAGATCTTCGTAACGTTTTAATCAATAATCATGACATTTCCGGTTCGAAGCGATTGTTCTTATCGCATGCAAGCTTTTGATTTTACTAATCAACATAGTACATAATTTCCGCCGTTCGGCCATAATCTTTAACTAGTATCTTTAACTAGAAGCAGGCATTTGTTTTTTTATTTGATAACAAATTGCGATATTGCAAACCAAATCTGTATTGCTTGATAATTAGATATTAGAAATCTATTTTCAAGCAGGGCTCGACAATGTTTCAATAGAATCTTTAACATATGTGATACAGTATGTTCTCGTGCGCGCTCAAGGAGATCAATGCGGAAAGATTACGGAGCGCGTCACTCCGCTTACGTCAGCGATGAAAAATTCCATACCACCAATGATGAAAAACTGGGTGGCTGTAGTTTCTACTTTTTACCGTGGCCAAAGTGCTTTCGTAGGGTGGCAGTGTGTTTGCTTAAGGTCGTCCATTCGTTAAAGACTCCCAAGCCTTCGATCCGTGGATTTGTCCGAGTAGAAGAGTTCATCTCGCGTTCCCCCGAACGGATAATAATCTATAATTATCTGCGGCATAACAGAAGGAAAGACGCGCCGCGCGTTCGTTGCTCCGTAAATAGTCGTTAAAGATGGCGACAGAACCGGATCGGCGAGCCGATCGGCGTAGTGGAAGCGTATCCCAATATGCAATCGATAAGGCCCGCCGATCGGGCCGAGGCGCATCGAAGGGATCTCATTTTCCATTCGGAAGAGCATCTTTTTTCCCCGGGTCATTGCACTCCGCCGTGCCGCGTTCCGTGTGCCACGAAGAAATTATCCTTGGATATGGGCAAGGACCTCTGAATGAGTTGTATCCTGATTATAGGCTATTGTGATCCGCCGTTCGTCGTTATACGGGGTCTCCTCCATGAAAAGAAGACGTTGCCTTTCCGTCTTCCTTCCACGCACTTCCTCCTTCTTCGTCGTGTCGCCGTCATGCGGGCGCCGGCGGCACGTAATAATTAACGCGGCACAAAATTAATTGTGCGCTCTTCGTTCTTTCTTCCGCGAGCGGTAAAAGCAGAGCAGGAACGGAAAAGACAATGTCGGCCGTGAATTTACATTGGCGGAAACGGTGCCAAATGGACGCTCTGATTCTCACACGTACGTGCGTGTAATCGGTTGAACGTCGCAGAGATGGTATTAGCTTGATTGCGTGAATGCTGAAGTAATGACCAATGATTTCCGAGTAAATACCTATGCAATTGCGAGCATGGGACGGCGCAGGTAATCTAAGTACCGCGAAAGAAGGATACCCTCGCTAGACGTATCGCTGCCGCATATTTACGTTAGATGACTACGAAAATATCTTGAAATTTTTTCACAGCCAAGTTTTGTCTTTCATTCTCATTTCTTGCAAAAGCATACTCTTTTACAATTAAATTGTTAATAAATATAAGAAGCAGCGCGGAGATACATCGGTGATATGCTGCGAGATCCGCAGCCACGCAACCTTGAATCACGAGCATCTCAGCACGAATATAAGAAAGGTCTGCCAGTCGTAAATTCGACCTTCCTCGAGTCACCGATGCGAAAAGCGACGAGGGAATCGCGGGACAATGAACGTTTTCGAAATCTACACAATCATATGCGTCGCATCGATGATGATTTCGTCATTTCCGATTATCATTCTCACAATGCGAGCGCAGTTTATTCCCTGTCTAAAAAAACAAGTTCAAATAATACACTTGAAGTATGTGGCAAAATCATCAAAACATTTCGACATATAAAAGCTACGACGAAATAAAGAGAAACGCGACCCGGATAAAATAAATTATATTGCAGTAGTATAAACCCATCATGCAAATTTCACCGATAAAAACTTGATAAACCGCTGATAAGGAAATGTAGTCTGTCGGAGTTGACCAACAAAGGCACTGTGGAATCAGAAGGAAACCGGAAGCACGGGCTACCGCGCCGGATATTGCAAGGGCCAGGACAGGTCCGCGACTAAAGGCGTGACAAGACATAAAAGTCGATCTCGCGCGTGTAAAATATACGGTTCAATCGCGCGAACGTAATATTCAGTCACTTTTGTAACTCAATATTTATTAATATCAACAGAGAAGAGACTGAGAGAGGTGTGAGGAAAGCGGTAAAAATAAAAGATAAAAAAAGGCGCGGCTGTCAGACGACAGCGCGTCTCCCACGTGTCTAGTATTTCAGCGTTAATTGCGAAAAATATGGAATTCACGTGCGAGTAATTGGTCCAAGGTTCGTCTGAAAGCGCACCGCCTAATCGTGACCGGGTGATAAAAAAGGTCCGCGCAGACCGACGGCGAGCGCGATTAAGTGGATCCGCCATGGTTACCGCGGCTCGTTTAGTTTTTCACCGCGTATTGTGGACGCGGTTGCAATATGTGTGACATCTCGGTATGCGGGGTTCTCACAGAGAATCGTCGGTTCCGTCGACAAAAACTGCGGGATGTACGTATCTTGTGCTTTGAAAACGGTGCTCTCCCGCTTTCTATCACTTCTCACAATAAAAAGAAACGACGTTTCTTTGCGCCGCGATGAGAAGAAGTTACTTCCAGAATTTGCCGCGGCACAAATATCTCGTGATTAAAAATTGATTTCCACGCGACGCGTGTGAATAGCGCGATACTCAATCATCGCTTATAACACTTTGCAGATTAATCAGGGTCATTGTGCGATTATAATTGGAATGTTAATTAAATATCTACATTGCATACTCTATTAATTACGGAAATATTCATGACGCATGATCTTACAGAGGCGTACAAAAGCCGATATCTCGGACTAACGGAAGCGACCGTACATTTTGCGACGACCTTTGATACCGCCGCGTGCGAAACGGGTCAGGTAAGCGCAAATACAATGAAAAGTCTTCGCGGTGCGGGCATCGAGGTGAATCGCGCGTGTAATATCTAGAGCTCAAGTGGAAACGAGGATAGTGACGTTTGCGCGAGTGCAATAACATTTTTAAATGCACCGACCCTGATTTTAATCAGCCGTGTGAAATTGCAAAAACTAGTCGCCCTAGAAAATTCCAACGCTTTGCCACTTACAATCGGCGTGCGCGTTATTTCAGCTCCGGAAATATTGTACGAGATACAATTCCGCGATATACATAAACTTATATATTGAGACAAAGAATACATTATATATACTTCAGCGTCTTTTTCTCTCTTTCTAAATTACTCGAAAATTATTTTATATGAAAAGAAAGAATGAATATAAAGAAATGTAATTATCTTCAAATGCGGCCAGTGTCCCTGAAAGAAAGGCGAGATTTCGAATGACAGTAAGCATGTGTCCGTAAGCTATAGTCTGTACAGATGGCGAAGAAAAATATACTCTGCCTAAACGCCTTCCCGCGACGAAGGCCCTCGAGAGAGTCATGTTACGATATGCGCAAAAAGGGACGCGAAACCGCACGTCGTGCAGTTACACTACAGCTCGGACCTAAGAAGCCGTGAGAAATTATGCGGTCGTCATTGAAACCCAGCCATAAAAGTCACAACTATTCCAAATATTCAACCTTCCACACGGTTATCATTTTACTAGAAATCGAGTGCAAATTTATAAGCTATATCGGCTAGTATTTTATAATAGCAAAAAAAAGAAACTGCTGTCGTTATTGATTTATTGCTCCATTTAATCATCACTTTATTACGATTGTGTTTAAAACGAAGATGCGATGTTTTAGGAATTATGAGTAATCACGGATTAGACGACGGAAATAATGATGAATTAAATGTGACGAATCCACGAGGCGCCGTCTCGCAGACACGCTGGACTTGTCGCCCAGCTGTTAATAAGTGCTCGAGTAACGTGTTGTTCTCGTTTTCGCTAAACCGCTTTACGTCACTCGGCGGATCGCCCGAGGAATGGCGTTTCGTTCCTCTCGTTCATTTTATTAAGCGCAAGCATCGTCGCTTTTTGCACTCCCCCGCGTTGTTCCTGACCGTCTCCCGCGGGCAATGTCAAACCGTCGCGCGTTTCGCCACAATAATGGCCCGACTACGCCTTCATCTCTCTCACGCATTTACTATTTATTTAATTGATCTTTGCAAATAGATCTGCAATTTGCCGCAATATAAAGGATTTTCATCAACGGTATTAATGCGAAAACAACTCTTTTCGTAATACGAACGGCGTGCTGGGGGTCTCCACTGGCATCTCCGCATATCCGTTTCCGAATTTCGCGCACGTGTTCGCCGTAAATGGCGAGTCTCGCCTGGCGAAATAATTACGTGGGAAAATAATCACGGGGTACTCACCTGTTGGGGCGCGTTGTCGGCCGGGGAGAAGCTCGACAGGGCGGTTAAGGGTGCCAGGGAGGCGCATGAGGATGCTCTCGAGGGCGGCGGTGTGTGACCGGGGGTGGGACTTCCGCTTCCGCAGCTACTCGCGCCACCGCTGGAAGATAGGCTCACGCTGTCCGCTCGCCCTCTCCACGGCGAGACCGACACGTGCTTCAACATTCCTCCTTTTTCTTTACCTGAAATCAGGATCCACGCATCGTTTGCCATTAAATGTGCGCGAGCATTGAACTGGGGAACGTATAGACCTATAACCGGCTATCAACTCGATTAATTGCCCACTCCGATCGGCGATAGCAGTTCTTTGCGCGGATATACTTATCATCCTTTCATCTATAATTATGATCGAACAGCTCATTTGTCTCGAAGGATAAGTGGAAGGCTCGCGAAGTGATAAAGGGATCGAACGTAGAAAGTGATTCGTGATGTAAGAGCTTGCGATGAGAATAGCAATTTCGCGTCCCACTGCAAGTTTCAATTCAGGACTACTTTTAAGGAGCGAACGCGCGAGTGAAACCGCCCGGAGTTTCACTCCGACGTGGATTTCCGGCGACATACTCGGTAACAGCGCTTGCTGGAAGTAGCGCGGCGACGTACGTTTCAATTAATCTCTTTGTGCAGTTTCCTCTCGCAAGGTCGTAGAAAAACCATAATTGGTTCGACGGCCTCTCGATAAGTAGTGTCCAGCGACTGTGATTGCTGGGATGTGAACAAACGTGGAAAGTGGCGGGAAGCTCGTAGGAAAAACCGGACGCTGGCAACGGTACACTTTAAGCGCGTCTATGTAATTTGATGTCGGAGTGAAACCAGACGGTTGCGATGTCCGAACCGACGCGTCCACGCACGCCTCTACCGCATGGAAAGCGAGGAAAACTGCTAACGCGGGTAAACACTAAAAACCGCAGATGCGCGCCAGACGCCCGTAGATCGCATATGCAGAATGCATTGGCGTGAGAAGGGAAATAAATTCTTTCTTTTGTGTGCCGCGCCGTTTCATTATTATTGGTTATTGTTTTATTCCTGCGCGGATTCTTAATGTTCGGTCTATAAAATGATAATTGCAAATGATGATAAATAATTTATATTATAAATACGTAAAATATGCAAAGATGTAATTATTCTAGAGCACATATTAAATTTTAATTGTGCGCTGTGCGATTCTTCGATTATGCAGATATGTGATAAAAAATTACGTGGTTTTTCCGCGATGCATCATCGAGAAGCGTGCTGTGTGTGGTCACGCGTATCTGAAGGATCATCAATATATCAGTATGAGCAAAGTGATAGAAAAAGAAGGAAGTGGTATACGCTTTTGGTATTTTAAGGAGGAAATGCGATATGATACGATGTATTGTTGCGAAATGAAATTTTATTCTCTATGTTATTTACTTACTTTTATCAAATTCGCAGCTGAGTAGCTTGCTGTAGCTCGCGCGTCAACACACGATAAACCTTCAAAACAGACAAACAAGCATCGAAATCATCCAAGTTCACTGTCTTACAGCAATTTTGTGGTCACAACACACGAACGGATTCACCACCGATCACAATCAAGCTGTGACGGGAATGCACAAGGAGGTGCTTCTGGCGTGCACTTCGATTGACAGATATTCGGTTTCGTGTAAATAAATCGCTCCGCACATTTTACACCGAAACGTCCTCGGATTATTATTCAGAGACTCGTCGTATAACCCATATATATATATATATTGTCTCGATATTAATTTAGCAAAGCTTGAAGCTTTATTTAAGGTTTCAATTTGAAGTGCGCGTTGAATGCACCACGACACACGCTCCGCGAGCGTTCTATCGCGACTGGCGAGAACGCGCGAGTAAGCCGACGTAGTAAGCCAGACCGCCGTACCGGCGGACAGAAGAGGGAAGAGAACGACCTTCTTGTGTAGTATACGCGGCTGTGTATCTGTGTGCCGCGTGTGAGCGTGTGTTGGCGCGCGTGCACTGGTGGAGCGCGCTGAGGAGCGCGCTGCGGGGGCGATGACGGTACGCGCGTTGTTCGCCGCACGAAGGGCGTATGTCCGCGGAACCAGCCGCTCGCGAGGAGACATACCTTACTCTCGCTCCCGGTTCTCTTCCCCGCTCGCGATGATGAGAATATGAAATGTCTGTCTAGGATACGAAGGAAGACGAATGGCTTTCGCAAATTGAGCACCTGAGAATGCAAAAGTTTTTTTTATATTAACCATTGCGCGGATAATTAATGCGTTTACGTTTTTGTATTTCTTTTGGAACACTGAGAAATTATCGGCAGCATTATTTCAGTAGATATTGATTTTTGAAAAATTTTGAATTACATGCGACAAGTTCGATTGTTGGATTATATTTTTAGATATATTATATTTGTTTTCTGTATAATATAATTACGTATTTATGCACAGGAAGATTACTATCAATTGCAGGATGTGCGGTATCGCGTGAAATAATTTGCAGAGATGACTGTTGAAGTCGGAGAAAGCGTTCGTACTGGCGGAAGAGTGATCCGCGATTGCTTTGCTGCAAAAATAAATTAAGATTCGAGTCTTACGTGGCGCGCAGCCGAGTTCCGCGTTGTATTGTTGAAAGAGGAGGCGAGCTACGCGTGTATCGCAGCGCCGAGGCTCGCACCGTGGGGAAAAAAGTCCGATAGGCCCCTCGGTCGTTACGGATAAGCACGTCCGGCGATTTTATTTTCTATTAGTTATTCCGCGCACAGGATTCTTCGTGAGTTCGAGAAGCTGAAGCAAGCGACGTGTATAAGAAGCCATTACCCGAGCGGTAGCGCGTGCTCGTTAGGATGATCATCAACGCGGAATCGGAGAATGAATGTCGCTCCCTCCCCGTCGCGGGTTAACATCCACGGTATATAAATCCTTAATATAAATCTCTCGAAAGCTTTTTCATGTATCTTTATTCTTTTTTTTTCGATAACTTTGTGATTTCTTTTCTGCAATTGTGAAGAGACACGCGAGATTTTGATTATTTAGATATATTGCTACATTTATTTTTTAACATACAAAATGATGATCATATCATAAGAATTGGCCAACCTTTTTTACAGCCCGAAGGTTAATCAAGATTCTGTGACAAGATCGACTAGCTGATACTCAGACGTAAGATTACGGATTGCTTATCTGTCTCGTTGCTCGACCAACAAATCTTCGTACCGTTCTTCTCACAGCAATATTTTACATACACGCCTGTACCTGCCACATTCGGAAAGAGGAGGATGGAAAAATAAAACGCGAGAGGTGCGTCCTACGTGATCGCCCGACGAACGACTGCATGGGCGTCGAGCTCGCGTCGAAAGAAAGAAGGACTTGCGTCTGTGCGAAGAAAAAGCGAGAGACGTACGTGGGAGTCGGCTTGATTCACTCAATGGCGCCCTGTGCACGCTTCTCTTTCCGATTCCTTTAATAAACTCGTTATATCGCACGATACGCGCGCCCGCCAGGAACAACAATGACTCCTAGCTGAGAGATTCATAGATTCGAGAAAAACACGCGTATTTATAGCATCCAGCCGCCATTATACTTTACTGCTGATCTAGATTGAAGTGTGTATTTGCATTTGCGTCAGCATAGATGCAATCGTACTTATTCTCGTACCGGAAGAACGAATAAATCCTCATCTTCCGGCGCGTTACGTGCTTTTCGCCTCGATTGAGCCTTCCGGCCGATTGCAACTACGCTGGATTTTTCCATCCTTTGAGACAATTTACAATAGAGCGATAGAGAAAGTGGTGCTTGCCGATGAAACCGCAGGTATTCAGGAAAGTGTCTTGAAAAAGAAGAAGCGCGCGATCAGACTTGGGTGGCATTCGAGGCGCAACCGAGTGCGACGCGGGGTGGTCGACACATGTAATTCGAGGCCGCTTTCGGACGCGGAGGCGTGCCGAAAATAAGGGGTGTCTTTGAAAATAATACCTCGGTGCATCGTAATCTGGGTTGAAATCGCGTAGATTATAACATGCGTTTCCACGGTGATGAATTAAACTTTCTCCAATCATCGTTCGATTATAGCCCGCGGATTGATAGTCGTCGGTAATATCGGAACGGATAGGCGCAGATTTAATTGCAGCCCCGTCGTTCGATTTCGATTCCATTGCGCATTTTACATCTCCATATGATTATTATTCGGTCACTTTTGCAAGGAACGCTCGAATTTTTTCCCCATTGATTCCCGCCGAGGTCGAGAACCGAGAGTCGCGGAAAAACATGAAACGGCTTCCTCGTCGTAAGAAACGCGGGTGACTTTGGTCTCGCCGCGGCGCGAGAGAGCTCCACGACTGCAGCCGCGCGTACCATCGCGATCTAGTCGCGGAACACGCGTGCCTTTTGTCGCGGACACAAGAGGCCTCACTGTGAAGGGTCCTTCCACCGTCGGCTCTGACTTCGCTTACGACGATCTCGGGGAGAAAATTCAATTAGCTACGGCCAAAGCGGCTAGATCGCCGCAGCTGCAATCGGCAGATAAGCCTCACGAGCGCCTGCGCGCGCGACCGACAATGCAAAACGCGTGTGCGTGCTCATTGGGTCTCGTAAAGCAGCGGCAGGCTTATCGCGCAAGGCGCGCAAAAGGTACGAATCTTACGAGCGTCGACTTGTGTCGCGCTAGGTCGCTTTCGTGACGAATATTTTCATACATCGTCTAAACACGTCTATCGCGTTACGATGAAAGACATGAGAAATTTGTATTGCATTACACGATATATAATATGCACGGATTATCAGTCGGTCGTGATATTAGAACCAGTAGATAGAGTGTGAAGACCTTCGGGATAATGAAATTTCGTACGCGAGATATGTAAAGTAAGAACGTGAATATTTAATGTTTTAAATACGTATGATCGATAATTATTTTTGTTTTGTTCGATCTTTTGATTTTTAAATTAAGCATTTGATAACTCACACGCAAATACGTGAATTGAATGATTATCAAGCGCGACATTAAAATAAGGATGTGAAATCGTAATCACCGATGATACTTCAATGTGCAACGCTGCAATCACATTTTTCATCGTTTTCAACCTAAGTGACGTAACGAAGTTAAATGAATTGTATAGCATTATCGCCAAGTGTCTAACAGTTTACTAGTTTAACATACGGAACCTGTTTAGGTACTCGTCGATAATACCATGCAATTTAACTTACGTCACATCGCTTAGGCAGAGCGTGATCAAAAATGTGCGATCGAAACGCTCCGTTGAATCACTCGCCGATGATTACAATTTTTCGTCGCGGAATTTTCACGGTTCGCCTTGACTTTATCGCGCATAAAATTATTTATCGAATTTTAATTTAGAAAATTGAGCGTCCGCCGATAAAGGCACTCACGTGTTTTGCCGTATGCAAATTCCGCGAAGTCGATTGACCACTCGAGAAAACCACTCGAGGACTGACGACGCGATGAGGGGATGTGCGAGGAGAGAAATCGGAACCACGGTGGTCAGTTACTTCAGCCGTGTACACGAGCGGCGAATACGGCGAGCGTGACGGACTCCCCGTAGTATGCGCAGGATACTATGGGGACTTTGGTAGAGACGGCGGTCCAGCCCGCCGGTGGATCCCATGGTGTAGCGTTACTTTCCCACAGGCGAGGCCTCTTCCTCTGTGCGCGCGCGATTCTTCCCAGACGCGCATCCATCATGCACCTGCACACGCCGATTCGCGTGTATGCGTGCCTGAGATGGTGGGGACAACGAGGAAGGACATGTATCTCACCTTGCGAGGCGAACCTGTTGTTCGTCACTTCGCCGAAGATCGACGTAACCGAGTGTTACCGCCTGAAAAATAATTTCCACCCTTCGGGAACCGCCAATTTCGGCGATGTAGGAAGCTGGGAGCAAAAGGATGTCTCTCACGGAGGAAAATGGGTGTCCCGGAAGAGAAGGTGCGGAATTATTGTAACTGCAAATTTGGATGGATGCAACAAAGGGGGAGTTTGTATCGCCACTTTGGCAAATTTTAGCTTCACATTTGCAAAAAAGAAAATAAAAGTAAAAATTTGATAAGAAATAACGCAAATTTTTGAACGGCATAATTAGAATTAAAAACATTAATATATTGCTGCTGTTTAATTGATTAATATTTCTTCTTATAATTGTTTACAATATAAGGGTGCAAAATAATGGAAATAATTACTCTTGTATGAATATTAAAATGTACTTACATTTCTTTTGTTGTGCAATATCTTTTTGTTTGAAATAAAATCTAATCAGATGCAAATGATACCCGTAGAAAATAGCAGTCGAAGTCGTCGTTCAGCGTAGACAAGGATAGTAAATATTGATTGGGGTTCCCCTCTGAATGGAGCACGAAACTGTTCCGGAAATGAGTTTCGTCACGCAGAGCGGAAGCTGGACCTTGCCGCATCATGGAATTGGTATTAAAGTACCTACATCGATCGCGGTCAGTGTGTATCCTCAATTCCCAAAAGGAAGAACAGCTGTTTTTCATAAATATTGCGTCTCAATGTTATTTTTGTCTTTTTGGAAGATGCAATTAAAATAGAAATTTAATTAAAATCGAAATATTAGTGCATTTAAATAACAGCCAAAATTAATTTTCTATTTGCAAAATAATAAATCAATATTTTACGTATCAGCACACAAACATTAAAATCTAGTTTTATACTGGTATTATATTATCTATAAATTTATTATGTTAGGATTGGAACGAGGCAGTAAAGGAGTGCGAAAGGGGCGAGAAGAAAAATAAATATGAAAACTAATCTTGTAGTTACGTTGCGCGCGCGATAACGCGAGAGCTGGTAAACATTAGGAGCATTATGGAACCCAAGAATCAAATTTATACGACAGCAGTATATATGAAATCACATTCACACTATGAACACATATTTATCTTGCCTTCAGTGGAACACAGGGTCTTTTTTGTTACGAAAAGTTTGTCCATCTCCTCAGTCTTTTATCAAAATTTATATATGAACACAATATTGTATCTTCGAAATAGTATAATTAAAAGATAGCGTATGCTGCGTCTTACATCTCAATTATTTGTAAATTAGATATATTTTTTTTTTAAATGAATACGACGATGTAATGCGTCTTCGGTCGTTTCGCAGTGACATTCATACGATCACGAATCTGTTCTATCTGTTTTGTTCACTAATTTTTTTAAGAAACAAAGGGCAAAACAGAATCGTATATGGTCAGCCAGGTGTGCGTTATGAGCGTCATTTTCGTGTTATATCTTGCGCGTCTTGCGATAGAAAACCGCCTGCAGCTGGTAAAAGTAGCTCAGTCATCCCGCAAAGTTCCGTGCTAATCCTTGATCTCTGGCAACTGTAAAGTGTTATACTATAATAATTTACTAATTTATCATTGTTACATATAGTAAACAATTAACGCAATCTTGCGCGTAAGCAAAATATTTCGGGATTATTTGGTAATTTTATTATATTATTGTTGTGCAAATAAAAATTGATTTCGTAGTATAATTATTTGCTAAAAGTATAATATAATTATATAAACACAACACTTTTGAAAATAACGTCTAAATACATTTTCGTGCAATAGTTTAGTTAAACCCGCACTAAGCTGCAACAATACCACGTCGGAGTGCCTGTTGTCGGTTATGCAATTGATTAATTATTTCCTATCGTGCACTGGCAGCGAATCGGCGATTTGGGAGTGGTTGCACACACATGTAGGTCAGCTTTTATAATCCTTAGGATGATTGACTTACATTACACGCTCCGTGAACTTTCGAATTTCTTAAGACGGTTGATAGAGGGCAACGAGGGGCAACGAACGAAGCAGATGATGGGTCGCCCTTAGCAGACCGGAAAAATCGTACCCTAAAAAATTACACACACATCGGTTTGTTAATCGAAAATCACTTCTCATTCCCGAAAGAAAAATTTCAATATCCTTCAATCGATTAATTTTATTTTGATTAATTCTAATATTTTATCGTAATAGATTATGCAGTTTGTTTTATCTCATTGCGAATTATTTCAGCATAAATAGAATTAATCACGTATTCTGATATCCGTGAATCACGAAAGTGTGTAAGACGATAAGGCCATTTCACATGTCGTTTGCGACGATCGTATGACGAAGAATAAGTTATGACTAACAGCGCGAACTCATACTGTAAACAGTCGAGAGCGTCCATCGAGAAATACTCTCAGACAATAGACGCTGCAGAACATAAATCGTCTACGCGTACAGGTCTATCATGTACAAGAATCGTATATCATGGCGCCGTTTATAAATGCTGCAACACACACATGCACTTCATCATGCTGCAATTAACTGGGAACGTCGTATACGTGTATAATAAATAAAATACTTGCAAATAAAATTACTGCTATTTTCAATCAATATAAATGGATGCCACAAATATGTATTATTATACAATCTCACATGCGTAGAAATAATTATCCTAAAAGCACATATTAAAATTAGTAGGCTGGACTTTTCATTAGAGACTTCATTACAGAAATATTTTTTTGTCAGTGGTTATTAAGGAAATGACGTTAAATTAAATTGCTCCATCAATCTTCTGTCACGGGGATGAAGAATAAGGGTGCCTACACGCAGTGTCGCGCGGCGAACGCCGCACCCTCGAAAGCCGCGCCCATATTCAGGCGCGGCCGAACATTACACTTTCCACCCTTACGAAGCGCGTGCAAACACGGGCCATTAGTCCGTGTTTTCACGTGATAAAGCACTTTGATATGATTATACGGAACGAGCGGCGATGAAAGACGAGACGGATTGATCGTCACGTTCGTGGAAAAAAGTTGGAGCTTCGTGAGATAGGAGGAAATAATAGCGGAATCGCCTTACGGTATCCCGGCGAACATGCAAAGTCACACAAGTGCTGTATCGTACTTCTGCGGCGTGATCGGCTATAAAGTTAATTACATACCATGCTTACATTGCATTCTGTTCAAGTTCAAATTGCACCTTGCAATCGTACGTTGCGGTAAGAACGTTGAATAGAATCGGAGTCCGACTGGATTTTAGTGTAAAAACATTGTTCACTGACATACTCCATTTATTTCACTTATCTCCGCATTAGACGCCCTAATTATCAAGAATGCTTCTGCAACTGTGCTCAATTGTTACACCTTTTTTTCCAAAAGAATTTTTTAACTCTAATTCATTTCATCATATAACACTTCATTCACTTACCGTTACTGTGTAAAGTTACTATACTTTTATTTTCTCGCACAGCTGATATATGTATAATTGTATTCCGCAGACGCAGCCATTATCCAGAAACGTGTAATTTCGAGAGTCTGCAATTCCTAGAAAAAAAAATATATAACATTAGATGTAAAATAGGTGAAACGATCGATCTAGAGTAGAAATCTAATTAGCGAGTGCGCTTTAATTTGACTTAATCATCTCGCGAAGTTACTTTCTATCTCATTAAGATTGGATTCTCCTTGTCCGAACATTTTCACCCTCCCCCTTTCCGGAAACGAGTCGGTACTTCCGGCACAACACGGCCACGATTTCGTGGCGAACAATGATAGCCTGATCTGTTTCACGTGGTCTTGCCGTGCATTTCCGGCACGACGGCGCTTAATTCGCTGCCACTTCCGGCGGAACCACACCTATCAAACCGTAACGGAATAATGGAAATTTGCTATTTTCTCGGACGACTTCGGTCCTAGTTTCGCGGCATACAATTACATAGCGTCATACTTTTATACGCCATTCACAAGTTCGCATTCCATAGTATCAGAATAATTCAATCGCGACACAATAATTATATATTCATATTTAATTAAAATAATTTAATTAGATAATACAATTAATTAATAAAAATTAATTAAAATAATTAAATTAATTAATTGTATTAAAAAGTTTTCAGCATTTGCCTGTAAATAACAATCTTCGCTTGCGATCAACCGTATAAGCGAAAATCTCAGAGCCGTCGAAAGTTGCCGCAACTTCCTACTGTCGTTTCGTGCCGAGAATTGCGCTAGCGCGATCGTCGGCCTGGGTTGCGTCTACGCACTTACGTTACTGGATTGTACTCGCGTACCCACGCACGATTGTAAAGATCCGCGTCAAACGACACGGTTGCGGCGGGATAGATACGAAATATTGTGCAACCTGCGAGGCGAGGCTCGCGTGCAAATCGGCGAACGGGAGCAGAATTTCCGCCGAACGAAGAGGAGAATGATTTTAGCAATTGGCAGCGTCGCTCACCGTGACAGTCAAAAAAACATACGCGCCGTATATCGCTTTCCGAAGATAACGGTACGGCGGTAATGCGAGGAGATGCTTGAAGCGGTACAAGCGAATGGATTAATATACGCTACCGTGATGCGCTTCTTATATCTATGCGAACGCATCTTAGGAATTCGCGTTAACATCCGCATCGATTACGGTGAGACCAGTTTTGCAATCGGATCGATAACGTAATTTTTAGCGAGTTTCTTTTTTCGCTCTTCTTGACCCTCATATTCTAATAATCCTCGTGTAAATGATTTGTGTTCTGAAAAAAATCACTTGCCGTAACACCCATCTTGCCATTTCTTAGAATAATGTTGTTTTGAAACGCATTGCAGGAGCAATCGTCGATGCAATACGGTGCGTGGGGTACCGAATGACGAGTACAATAATAATTACAACAATGATCATGCTGTCGCAACGCATTGTTCGTCGTTGATGATCCGCTTCTTTGATGCGAGTTGCGTGCAACGACTGAAAAGCGCGCCGAAACAATGCGCTTTTCGTGGCCGGGAATCGAGCGCATGGTGCCGCGATTTGCGGTGCCAGTCTAATTTAGTTTAGCATTAACGGTGGGAAAATCTTTGTCGCGATAATTGCAAAGAGAAAGTCGCAAGAATTGAAGACCGGTATGGTAATTAAAACCTAACGACCTAACGCATTCGTAATCGAGTTATGCATCAAGTTTCTTTCATTTTGGGCAGAGGACGTTATGCAACAGCATAATTGCAGTGTCCCTTCTGTGGCGTAAGTATCGAGGCGAGTATCGATTGCAGTAATTTATCGCCGGACAATTACGTAGCTCGTAAAAACTGATGAAAAGCAAATATTGACGATCCATTGCGAAGCGGATTTATAAGCGCGTGTGTATAACAATATCTGGAGCCATATCGCATGTCAAGCCTGCAGCCGTGCATTCTGTCACGTTCAGGAACAAATCACGTCTCTCGTAAACATTCTAATCGTATCTTTAAGGACAATGGACACGCACTTGATAGGATAGATAAATCATAGAAAGCTAATCTCTTGTTCCATTATTCAAATCATTATTCAAAGAATCCACTTGAACTACAACTTTGTAAATAAGTTTTTAGTTCATTTTTCTACTGTCTCTTCATATTAATTGATATTCACAAAAAAGTATAATTAAGCATTAGAAATGCTGCGCGTATTCTCGTGATGCGCGATAAATTAGATACGCTAACGGAAGAATATTACACTTTGCAACACATATCTTACAAAAGAATTTTATCTAACAAATTACATTATTATCAACGTGCGTTTCACTTCCTCAATTATTTACTGATATAATAACGTAGAGCAAGCGGAAAATATTTTTATCACGTATTCTGTATTTTAAAACTTGATAATGTAATCACATTTATAAAAACGTGATAAATATTTATTATATTTTATCGATTTATCATAATTTATTAAAAAAAAGCAACATTTTGAATATATTAAAACCTCAATATTTATTTAATAATTAATGTTTAATGTAATAATGATTAGTTGAAGATATTAGCTAATTTTCCGGAAAACTTGAATCAAGATTGACAATTTTAAAAACTGGATTTTCCGCAAAGCAATAATATTACGCAAAAATATTCTTGTAACAACCAAGAATTCGATATTGTGTGTAATACTAGCTTGACGTCACAATCGTGCCTATTTCTTCATAGTTCTACCTACCGGATCTACATCTTGCAATACTTTCTAATTCAACACTTTCGTTCTTCTTGGACATCTATTTGCAAATTCCCAGGAAGTTCTAATTGCTTTTAGCAATCCGTTGGCACTTGAAAATATTTAGAATATGTCCTTATTACAAACGTTATCTGCACATTTTTGAGTCACTACGCCATTTAAAAGCGAAATAACGATTTCTATTTTATGCGAAGAGTGACGCGTAATTGCGACATAATTAATATCATAAGCGTGATCGAAGTCCAGCATGTAGTATCGTATAGAACACGGTGCCCGCATTCTTCGCGAGAGCACGTTAATTACCGTCGCTTAATCTTACGATATCGCGAACTTGCAATTGAGTTTTCACCGCGGCTCGATTACGCAGTTCCGGCGAAGGCGGTCGCTCGGCATTCCGAAATTATTGCACCTGCATTTCTCATACAAATTTAATATTTCCGGCGAGTAAGGTGCGGGTTCTCCCGCGCGCTTTCTTTCGTACGCAATTTATGTTTTACGCCTTGCCGGAGAAAATCGAACGAATCCTGTTACCGGCAGTAATAGATAAACGATAAGAGAAAGCAGAGACAATGTTTGATTTATTTGAAAACTATGTACTATTAAAATAATTACGACTGGTCTTTGTATCTCACATGTTATAAAAAATTTTTGAAAGCAACTATTTCTGAAATTTTTAACTTCTTAAATTAGCAGAAATTTTCACTTTTTTACATCTTTTAACGTGTTATGATTGCTTTTAATTTAATATTTCCAAACATTTATGCTTAGAAACTTCTTTTTTGTTTTATCGCAGATGCTTTGCGTCCAGAAGCCCGAATCTGTTGATGACAGCTTCCAGACTTTCCAGAGTGTTTCGACACTCATACCGTAAAACTAGTGACGCGTGACCGTCTCGTATGACCTCGGCGAACCGAGACTGGTCTCATCGATTCTCGATCCTCGACATTCTTCCTTACACGCATACAAGCTGCGTAATCCCGTTTTCAAGGTACTCCCACCGTAAAGTCATCAACAGCGTCTAACGTAAAATTTCTCAATGTCACCTGATATAAGTGTTCCGACTTGTAGCAACGTTCAGCAAGTTAGAAGTAGGTAAGGTAAACATTAATAACTCAGCTACTTTTCATTGCGCACGGAACTCAGCGGTTACCGTATTCGAAGAACGGTATCGCAAAAATTCCTTAATATGTAATTAATTCGTCGAATGTTAACGACCTCGTGGAATGTCCCTAGCAAAACTTGGCACATAAACGAAGCAATCCGTACTCGCTGATAAAATCTCAAGCTACCCGCATGTGTTGGTACTATTTTGACCGTATTTACGATGCACACGTCCGTACGAAATAAACAGACGGTGCCGCACATCTGCCACATAACGTGGGAAGCGTCCTTCGCATATAACGGCCTTCCTGAGTCGCGTGAGAGAACTAAATTAAGTCTTCGTAACGCATCGCTTTTCTGGAAGCGCCAAGTTATGCACCTCTCATTTTCCGCGTTCTCGTGCAATCCTTAATCCGATTGCCTTTTACGTCATTCACGCGCCGTCTATCAATTGTAAATAATGGTCAAATAAATGTCAAAGCGATCTATAACATTATCAAGCCAA